CATAAATTGACCCACACATAGCATGTGCATGTACAAAACGAACAATGGTATCATACTCGTCAGTTACAAAGTTGCATTGGTATCATCATAATAGTTGCAGGAGAAAGTCTTCACTTTTTCTTCGCTTGTGCCATTTGCTTATTGCGCCGTAACCATGGATAATCTTCATCGTTTATCAGGATACTGGGGTCAGCCTTGACTTTAAAGGGAGGAATTTCATGAAACTTTTCATAATCTTCAGACATGTCTGTCTTGTCCTCCACTCCCACGATGTCCCTTTTTCCTGAAAGAACTATGTGGTGCTTTGGCTCATCGTATGATGTATTTGCTTCCTTATCTTTTCTCTTTCTCGGTCTGCTGGACATGTCCTTCACATAGATAACCTGTGCCACATCATTGGCTAGGACGAACGGTTCGTCAGTGTACCCAAGAGTTTTCAGATCCACTGTTGTCATTCCGTACTGTGGGTCTACCTGTACCCCGCCTCCTGACAGATTGACCCATTTGCACTTAAACAAAGGGACCTTAAAATCATGTCCGTAGTCAAGTTCCCATATGTCCACTATGTAACCATAATATGTGTCCTTTCCCCTCTCGGTTGTTGCATCAAAGCGGACACCGCTGTTTTGGTTGGTGCTCTTTTGATCTTGGTCAATCGTGTAAAATGTATTCCCATTTATCTCGTATCCTTTCCAAATCAATACAGTCAAAGATGGTCCCCTGGATAACAAGTACAGCTCATCACAAACAGTGTTGTCACCTCTGATACGTGCTTCCAACCAACTGCTGAAAGTCCTGATGTGTTCACATGTAATCCAGTCGTCGCACTGCTCCGGGTGTTTGAAGCGCAGACTGTTCTTGTGTTCATCGACATACGGGGTCACCAAGGTAGAGTTCTGTAGAACTGTGTAGTGGGCTTGAGACCAAGAATATCCGTCCCTGCATATTATTGAGTCCTTTCCAAGCGTGCCTTTTCCAGTCAGTCTCCCCTCATACCGCGATTTAGGGAGACCTATCTTCTTAAGGCCAGGAATGAAGTCAACACAAAACCCGACGACATCCTCTGTTTGATGGCCCATGGAGATGCTTCCTTCTGGCCTAGCGCGGTTACGGACATATTTCTTTAGGACTCCCATGAACCTCTCAAAGGGGTACATATTGTGTAGAAATACGGGGCCCAGAATGACAATCTCGTCAACTAGATGAACTAGAACGTGCGTCATGATATTGAAGAAGGATGGTGGGAACACCAGCTCGAAACTGACAAGACATTGCACCACATCACTCCTTAGCCTTGGTATGATTTCTGGATCGATCACCTTCTGAGATATTGCATTGAGGAATGCACATAGCTTCACAATGGCTAATCGGACGTTTTCCGGTAGAAGCCCCCTCAATGCAACCGGAAGCAGTTGCGTCATAATCACGTGGCAGTCATGAGACTTTAGGTTCTGAAACTTTTTCTCTGCCATATTTATTATTCCTTTTATATTCGACGAGAAGCCAGTCGGGACCTTCATACTAAGAAGGCATTCAAAGAAGATTTCCTTCTCTTCTTTGGTAAGAGCATAGCTGGCAGGACCTTCATACTGCTTTGGAGGCATGCCGTCTTTTTCGTGCAAACGTTGCAGGTCCTCCCGTGCCTCAGCTGTATCTTTTGTCTTCCCATACACGCCCAAGAAGCCTAGCAGGTTCACGCAAAGGTTCTTCGTCACGTGCATCACGTCGATCGAAGAGCGGACCTCTAGGTCTTTCCAGTAGGGTAGGTCCCAAAATATAGATTTCTTCTTCCACATGGGTGCGTGTCCCTCAGCGTCACTCGGAACAGCTAGTCCGCCGGGACCCTTTCCAAAGATTACGTGTAAATCATTGACCATAGCAAGTACGTGATCACCGGTACGCATGGCGGGCTTCTTCCATTGATCTGCCTCGCTTTTGAAATGCTTGCCTTTCTTTCGACATTGATGGTTGGTCGGAAGAAATCGACGATGGCCCAGGTACACATTCTTCATGCAGCTTGCCAGGTATATACTATCGGTGTCAAGTAAACAGTGCGTGCATGCGTGGTATCCCTTGTTTGTCTGTCCTGAAAGGTTACTGAGAGCGGGCCAATCGTTGATGGTCACGAACAGCAACGCCTTTAGGTTAAATTCCTCCTGTTTGTGCTCATCCCACGTACGTACACAGTTTCCATTCCACAGCTATAAAAGTTCTTCAACTAATGGCCTTAGGTACACATCAATGTCATTGCCGGGTTGCTTAGGACCTTGGATGAGAACTGGCATCATAATGAACTTCCGCTTCATGCACATCCAAGGAGGAAGGTTATACATACATAGAGTCACGGGCCAGGTGCTGTGATTGCTGCTCTGCTCCCCAAAAGGATTAATGCCATCCGCGCTTAAAGCAAACCATACGTTCCTTGGCTCACTTGCAAACTCATCCCAATACTTTCTCTCGATTTTTCTCCACTGTGACCCGTCAGCGGGTGCTCTCAACTTCCCGTCTTTCTTACGGTCCTCACTGTGCCGTAATGCACCGCATACCGGGCATGCGTTCAGATCCTTGTACCGTAATGCACCAGGGTCATCTCGTCTGTTCTTATACCGTAATGCACCGCATACCGGGCATGCGTTCAGATCCTTGTACGCACAGTGGTAGAGGATGCCGTCATTAGGGCATGCATGTATCTTCTGCACCTCCAATCCTAGAGGGCATACGACCTTCTTTGCTACGTATGTACTGTCGGGCAATTCGTTATCCTTTGGAAGCTTCTTCTTCAATATTTTAAGTAGCTTCTCAAATCCTTTGTCAGGCACAGCATTCTGTGCCTTCCACTGCAGCAATTCCAGTACGGTACCGAGCTTTGTGTTGCCATCTTCGCAATTGGGGTACAACCCTTTTTTGTGGTCCTCTAGCATGCGATCGAACTTTAGCTTCTCCTTTTGACTTTCGCATTGCGTCCTTGCATCGACAATGACCCGGCGGAGATCATCATCATCGGGCACATCGTCTGGTTCCTCTGATCTTCAGCAGCTTCGCCCGTTGCAGCATCATCGTGCACATGGTCTGGTTCCTCTTGATCTTCCGGAGCATCACCGTATTCAGGGTGTACATAGTTGTCACCGTACTCTTCTTCTTCGCCGTCTTCCATCATAACCCCTATTTCTCCGTGCCTCGTCCAAACATTATAGTGTGGCATGAAACCCTTGTAAAGCAGGTGGGTGTGAAGGATTTTCCGGTCAGAGTAAGAGTTCGTATTCCCACATATAGGGCATGGACAACACATAAAACCATTCTGCTTGTTTGCCTCAGCCACTTCGAGAAAATTATGCACGCCCTTAATGTACTCGGAGGTGTGTCTTGAACCGTACATCCATTGCCGGTTCATCTGTGTGCATTATATATAATTAACTGTGTCAAAAATCATTACAGAACATCATGAATAGATAATTAAGTGACCAAATTAATAGAAGTTCATCATCACATTAAAACCAAAGTACATACATAGTTCTCATCTAACAACATAGAGCTCTGCAGAGCATCTAAATTAATTAAACCATACACTGAAACTATGTAAAACATTTCAATGCGAAAACAAATGCGATCATAATCGCAACCAATGTAACAACTGATCCAACGGCATAATGATACCAAGCCTCGGTATGAATGGCATATTTTCTAATCTTTCTAATCTTCAAGCGCATTGCATCCATCTTGATCTTGTGATCATCGACGACATCCGCAACATGCAACTCCAATATCATCTTCTCCTCCTCAATTTTTCTATTTTTTTCCTTTAACAAATTGTTTTCTTCTTCAACTAAATTTAACCTCTCGACAATAGGGTCGGTTGGAATTTCCGGTTCAACAACCTCCTAGATGAATAAAATCTATGTCACGTTGGTCGGCATAATTGTCATAAACAATAAATGAACCAATAGTTATGAAAAGATAATATATACCACATCCGAATCATAGACAGGACGAGGGCCGACGGGGGCGGATACCAAAACCATCGCACTATATAAGATGCAATAATAAAAGTAAGAAAATTATACAAGTATATATCTATCTAAACATACAAATAAGAATATTTTTCCTTTCAGAAAGAAGATAAGAACAAGAGGCTCACCATGGTGGTGCCGGCGATGAGATCGGTGCGGGTGATCGACGACGTTGAAGACGGGGACGGGGCGTGACGGACCGCTAAACCTAGAGAAATATGGAGGAAAATGGAGCTTGGCGGTCGAGCTTGGAGAGGAGAAACCCTAAGTAGTGTGGCTCGCGCATTCCATCGAACACCTTGTGTGCATAGGAGGTGAGGTAGAGCACCACCAAGCCCTCTCCCCCTCGGCCAGAAAAAACAGAGGAGTGTGCTCTGCTCTTGCACGAGGGGGGTATATATAGGCACCACCATTGGTCCCGGTTAGTCGCATGAACCGGGACTAAAGGTTTGCCTTCGGTCCCCGTTCAAGCCACCAACCGGGACCAATTGTGGTGGGCCAGGAGTGCGGCCCATTGGTCCCGGTTTGTCCCACCAACCGGGACCAAAAGGTCCAGACGAACCGGGACCAATGGCCCACGTGGCCCGGCCAGCCCGCGGGGCTCACGAACCGGGTCAAATGCTCCCATTGGTCCCGGTTCTGGATTGAACCGGGATTAATGGGCTGGACCGGCCTGGACCATTGCCCCCTTTTCTACTAGTGGGAGCACCATCAGACTAAAAGCAAGACACAAATCCTTAATGGCTACATTGTTGAACAATACTACCTTTTGATACCATTTGAACATTTAGATTTAATTTGAATTTAAGTCATGTTTAGCGAACGAACTCATACTATATTGTACCAACCAACCAGTGTCACAATCAATTATAACCTAAGAATCTCACAACAAAGAATAATTATATTTAATTCATGCTAACCTATGTGGTCCGTCAAGGGGGGCGCTGCAGTCTCGATCGCCACAAGGGCAGCCGCCGAGGTATCGACTAATGGTCAAGCAGTCTTGGCGGATGACTCAGCCATCTCAGCAGTTGTAGCCGTCCTCTCTGCAGAGGCAACCGTGACCTCGGCGTAGGACTTCGCCCTCCGTGCTGTTGCAGCCGCCCTCTCGGCATCGCCTGCCACTTCAACCGCCCTCTCGACCACTGCAAGAGAGAATCGTGGTAGGCAGCCGCCCTCTCAGCCACTGCAGCCATCCTGTGGGGGGCCTAGATCTCCCTAACTATGAATCTCCACGAGACCATCTTTGTCATCCGCTAGTGAACACACGGACCTAACATGAAGAAAAAACACATTGGATTTGAATTGCAAAGTCAAGACACAGACTAAACCTAGCATAAGTCAAACCTAGAAGAATCACATACTCTGCATTTGAGCCAACTTTCAGTCCATCAAGGCTCTCAACAACTGTCATCTCTCTAATGGTTGTATATATCGTGGACACTCCCTCAGTGGTATTTCGAATATTGGTGATGGTCGTTCCTCCACATATCTTCTACAAGGAAGAGATGAGGAGGAACGGCCTCCTATAAACGTCTCCACAGCTCCTATAGTTTCACGGGAGAAGAGGGGGCCCGTGATCTTGCCTGGGGCGAGGTAGATCGGCGCTGGCGCCACAACTCCTAAGGTTTCACCTAAGGGTGGAAGCAGTAAAGAAAACGATTCACTCCAAACATTCACTCTTTTAGACTAGGAGCAAATGTTCTTCAACTTTCTTCTATATGTAATTATATATGTTGAGATTAATGTCTATACTTACATGAGTATAGTATAATAATAGGAGCAATATTTTTGTGCATCAGTGCCCACACATTTTCTCTTGATCCATCACTACACATACAACATGCACTCGTGTTTTTTTATTACTGCCAACATGCAAAGCAGAAAACCAAGTTTGATTTTCCTGCCTCCCATCTGGTAATCCGAAAGAATCAAATACATTATAACCAGAGCCAGGAGAATGGACCTGTATGTAGCTGCGCTGCTGCTCCGATGAAAGAGGGTAGCTTCTTCCGCTGCTGCTGTGGACGCCCCTCCTTAACCATGTTAATGTGGAGATTGCAACCTTCCAAAACCAAGCCACTGAGAGCATCTAGAGCATCTTCTAGGTGGGCATGGGATGTTGACATAGTTACGTGGCCGATACATCGTGAGCGCTTGGTCTTCTTATCGCAGATCACCTCGGTGCTGAACACTTTACCATGTTTGCCGAACAAGAGTCGCAGCTGAGAGCTTTTCACGGTGAGAGGTAGGTTGTACACCAACACCTTGAAACAAGGCTCATAATATCTCTCGACGTGAATGACGTGTGTTGGACACGTAATCTCTTGCCTCTTCACGCCACGAGCTTCCAGAGAGCTCCTATTGATTTCCTGATAGAGCAACATCAATGTTAATCATCAGTTCATCACTACTAGAATTTTATCGTGTACGTCTAGGCCTCGAGATGCTTGCTTACACATAGTCCCGAGTGTTAAACTCTAGATGGTATCGGTTCTATTAGCCATATGTCATGATAAAACTACCAGAAATAGCATTATGCGAAATATAATTTTGTGATGTTTATTTTGCAGGTGTGTAATTACCTGAACCGGAGCCATGATTGTTTCTGGGATGAGCCAAGTGCACTTCTCGCAATTCCATCCTTGAGGCAGCCGCTCAATGAACTTGACTTCATCATTGACAAGGTTGTACCTGAACACACCGTATTGCTTATATGGCGCGGCCTTACTATTGGTGTAGACGAAGTAGACGGAGCCTCCATGGCCAACAAGCACGGAGGCGTCGATGGCAAAGCTGTTGGGCGACCCCAAGAAGAGGGCGCGATCGGCCAGGCTGTAGCCATCCTTTCTCACCCACTGTCTCTTATCCCCGTCTAGCGCGCACACCCACATGGAGAACCTGCGCGAATCATTGTAGTATGTCCGGACATGGATGGTCGCCCACAAAAGCTCGCCACGGGACTCAAGGAGGTAACTGTATTGCTCCAAGTAATTTCCACACATAGTTGGTAGCCGCTGCAATGGGATCCCCATGTTGTCAACCCCCCGCTGTGTAGAGATTTGCCACACGCTAGACTCAATACTTACCAGGATTCTGCCATTACGGTAAGTGGCGCAGTACTCTCGGCTCCTATTGGTGTTCTCAAAGATCGTCTCCACGAGCGTCCACTCTGCATCACCAGGTTGCAGGAGCACCGCCGTGAAGCTGGCTATGGTCTTGGTGTCCTCGAAGACGGTGGAGACACCATAGAGAAGGGTCGTACCATCAGCATAGACAGCGCCGTGGAGGTTTTCCTCCCATCGGCCGTCCACGCAGCACTTATGCGGCAAGAGAGGCAGACGGGTGACGGCTCCGGTTAGAGGGTCGTGCAGGCTAAGGCGGCGATGTTCGACCGTGAGGTACCGGATGGTGGTTGCATCGTGAGTAGACAGCCAGATCCTCCTCCCGGATTCGGCGATAGGCAGCAACGCGCGGTAGCTGGACTTGGAGAAGAGGCACCTGAACCTTAGTGGGACGGAGTCTTCCTCCGGCGTGGGGAGGAGCCACGGTGGGAAGGAGTGGATCGGCTTGGATGAGTCGCGCCACGGCCTGCAGACGGCGCTGAAACGGAGGAAGTCGACCGCATCGCGAAGGCGACTGGAGATGTCATGGAGCACGTCCGGTGGGAGGTCTGGCCAGGTGGACTGCTCCATGACGGCGGGATCGAGCGAGAATTTGTGATGGACGGATAGAGGATTAGATGGAATCGAGAAGGCCGTGCGTTTGTTTCCGATTAGCCGGGTTATTTTATTTTTTTGAGCTAAACCGGGTTTTTATATAGCTACGTACGGGTACGGCCGTGTCATACTCTAATACGTAATAAGGATGCCCATCGAGTTTACTTTAAGACGAACAGCCGTCGTCTCCTTGTTGCTTGGGCTGCCTTTTTCTTTTTCATGTAAAAAAAATCGTTTGGAACGTGGGCTATTCGTTTTTATGTAGTCATTGGAGATTAATAGGATTTCGACTTACGGCAGAAACTTAGCCATGTTGAGTTGGTCCCGGACTTGCCTCAGTTTAACTGCTCGCCCTGAAGGTATCCTGGGTTCGACTTACGGCAGCCAGACTCGTTCTCTTTTGTTACAAACTATTCTCGAACGGGCTCACGCCTTGCTTTATATATAATAAAGCAAACATCACGGTACACGGCCAAGTGATATGAGGCAATGAGGAGGCCCTCTTACATAGCAGATCCCAGGATAATCGAACAGCACACATGAACACGAGAATGCTGCCAAAAAGTAATACAGGTAGGCCTGAAAACATGACACGGCACGCACTAGGACACCTAGGCAGCTCATCCATGCCACGATGAGGCACCCAGAACCACCACGGCGAGCACAATCCTCAAGTTTCAGATCTAGACACCGCCATTGCCAATGATAGGACGCGAGAGCCCGAGCCCCCACCGCTACACCCCTTTCCGCCCACATGCCCAATAAGCATAGCCATCGCCGCCGTCATGGTGCGCGTCAAAGAGCCAACCATACGGACATCCACCCGAGGCCGCCGCACCAGCATCCATGTCTCGAGATACTGTCAACCGCCCCCGCCACAGCGCACCAATCATGGTAGGAGGAGCAGAGGCACTCCATCTACTCCTAACCCGGCATCAGCCACCCGATTTGTTTCAGCGTCTCCACCATAAGAAATGGCCACACTGTCATCCTAGGCCAGACCCGGTGGACCTAGGACACGATCGAATGACTACTGATGGCCGCCGTTGAAAAAGCCTCGGCCTAGGCGAGCTGACACGCCGACATGACCACGGCTAATGGCGCCGATCTGTCCGACAGCATAACGGTCCCTCCCGAAGATGGCATGATCCCTCAACCGTCACAATAACATGAGGACGCGACCCATCTAGCCCACAAGATCCTGCCTTGGCATGACCAGAGGTGAGCCAGAGCTCAAAAATCCGACTCCAAGGGGCCAGGGCGTCGGAGCATGCACAAGGAACAACCAGCCCTGGGTGGAAGGACCACGCCAAACTTTTGCCGTGACGACCTCACTACCATAATCGAACTCTGTCGGCATGGGCACAAACCCCGTCGGATATACATATGCCGACGGTCGCTGCCGGCATAGATCCATCGGCAACTCGTACGTTGACCTATCCAGGTCGAGCCGTCAACATAGAATCACCGTCGGCATAGCGAGCTATGCTGACAACGACCCTACAGCTGTCGACATCTACTCATCGCCATCAAGCCGGCTCCAACCATGAGCCGCCATGTGGCAGGGACATGCCGACGGCCAGGCCGTCGGCATGACTCGGCAACGTGGCGGCTACTGGGCCGTCCTGGTGCAGGAATATGGAGATGGCCACGCCTTCAACATAGCTTTAGATCTATGCGGACGGGTATGTTAACGGCCAGGCCGTCGACATATTCCAGCACCAGACAGCCCAATAGTCGCCACGTGCTGCCTATGTCGACATCCCAGCCGTCGACGTTTTCCGCTAGGCTGTCGGCATATCTCTGTATATGCCTACGGCCCCCGTCAGCATAGATCTGGTCGTCGGGATAGGGGCTTTTTCCGGTACTGCCTGGCCAGAGGGAGAGAAGGCCCTGCCGCCGCCCATGCTTACCGGGCTTTGCCCGTCAGTGTGCGCCGACGGTGGCGGAGGAGGAGGAGGAGGAAATGGGAGCGTGGAAACCAGCGGCACGTGCTAGGGTTCTCCCCGGACGGCCGCAGGGGCGGGGCAGGGAGAGGGAGAGGGGAAAGGGGAAACAGATCCCACGACCAACGCTGACTTCTGTTACAAATTATAGGTGGTTTGCCATATACATAAATCATTTATACAGCAATGCAAAAATGAAAAATATAGTTTTTTAAATACAATCTGAGATGACATCGACACTGTTACGGCTGCCCCTAATTGACCAAGGTGACCTCTAGACTGTGCCCTTCGAGAATCATCTTGTTGAGATCCGTGAGAATCATCCTGTCACGAACTCATGCGCTCAGGATCAGATCCGAGAGGGGAAAGGGGGATGAGATCGAGACTTGAGAGAGAAGCTTTGTTTCCAAGGGGAGAGTACAGATTTGGTGAGAGTTCAGAATCATCACACACAACTCGCATGCCTTGCCTACTGGCCTACAGCTGGCTAAATAGCCGTACTTCACTTGTCCTCTCGCCTTACAGGTGGGTCCATGCCACATGGCAGAGGGGGTCCACACCATCACGCGTCCACCGCATCATCTCCTGGTGATGCCGGTGTGGCATTCCCCACTCCTTCAGAACAGGCATCGTCTTCAGGAGCTGCTTGCTGCTCATCGTCGCCGATCGATGGTGTGTCCCACGCCGGTCCTTGTAGAAATCGGCGGCGAAGGGTGTCATGGTCCTCCCAAGTCATCGCCGTCTCGTCGTTGGGCCAGCGCACCTTGACCTGCACCAGGGCGCTGTTGCCACGCTTGATCATGCATCGCTCCAGGATCTCCGACGGTTTGTCGTCGTGGCCGGTGAGGTCTGCCGGTCGGGGCAGCTCAGAGAAGATCGGTGTATAGTTGGGGGTGAACGGCTTGAGCTATGACACATGGAAGACGGGGTGGATCTTGTTGTCCGCCGGCAACTCCAATTTGTATGCCAGCTTGCTGATCTTGTCGATCACCGTGAATGGCCCAAAATACTTGTACGCCAGCTTGGCGCAGGGTCTGTTCGCCACCGACGACTGCGCATAGGGTTGGAGCTTGAGGAGAATAGCGTCGCCCACTTTGAAGGAGCGCTCGGTGCGGTGCTGATCGACCTGCTTCTTGAATCGATGATGGGCACGGAGAATGTGCTCGCGCAGCCGCGTCATGTGCACACCCCAGTCCCAGGGCTTGCCGTTGATCATGGGCACCGTCTTGTCATCCCAGAGTGCCATGGCGCCCAGGTTGGGCTCCACTCCGTATAGAGCTTTAAGGGGGAGCATTTGATCGGGGAATGGAAAGACGAGTTGTACCAGAATTCTGCTGTAGGCAGCCATCGACGCCATTGCCGCGGCGCGTCATGCACGGTGCAATGCAGGTACATTTCCATGCACTGGTTGACGCGTTCGCTTTGGCCATCCATCTGGGGGTGATACGTCGTGGAGTAGAGCAGCTTGGTGCCCGCGTTGGTGAAGAGTTTGCGCCAGAGTGCACTGGTGAAGACGCGATCGCGGTCGGAGACGATGGAGCTCGGGATGCCGTGGAGCTTGACGACCTGATCCCAGAAGACCTTGGCCACTTGTGGAGCTTTTAAGGGGTGGTGAAGGGGGATGAAGTGCGCTGATTTGGTTAGTCTATCCACGACCACCATGATGGAATCGAAGCCCTCTGACGATGGCAAGCCTTACACGAAATTCATAGTGAGGTCGCGCCAGGGAGCTGATGATACGTGCAAGGGTGCGAGCGTGCCCGCCAACTTGGATTGCTCGTGCTTGGCGTGCTGGCAGACTGGGCACTACCGCACATAGTCGGTGACGTCGGCCTTCAAGCCTTCCCACACCAAAAGCCTTTTGATGCGCTGGTAGGTGGCCGTGGTGCCGGAGTGACCACCGACCGCGCTGTCGTGCAGTGCGCTGATGATCTTGGCGTGCAAGGACGTGTTCTTGCCGATTCAAAAGCGGTCCTGCTTGCGGATGAGCCCCTTGTAGAGCTCGAACCCGTCGTCGTCGGGTGATACGTCTCCAACGTATCTATAATTTTTGATTGCTCCATGCTACTTTATCTACTGTTTTGGACTATATTGGGCTTTATTTTCCACTTTTATATTATTTTTTGGAACTAACCTATTAACCGGAGGCCCAGCCCAGAATTGCTGTTTTTTTGCCTATTTCAGTATTTCGAGGAAACAGAATATCAAACGGAGTCCAAACGGAATGAAACCTTCGGGAACGTGATCTTCTCACCGAACGTGATCCAGGAGACTTGGACCCTACTCCAAGAAGTTTCCGGGGAGGTCACGAGGGTGGAAGTCGCCCCCCTGGGCGCGCCCCCTGCCTCGTGGGCCCTCGGAGCTCCACCGACGTACTCCTTCCTCCTATATATACCTACGTACCCCAATAGACCAGATACGGAGCCAAAAACCAAATTCCACCGCCGCAACTTCCTGTATCCACGAGATGCCATCTTGGGGCCTGTTCCGGAGCTCCGCCGGAGAGGGCATCCACCATGGAGGGCTTCTACATCAACACCATAGCCCCTCCGATGAAGTGTGAGTAGTTTACTTCAGACCTTCGGGTCCATAGCTAGTAGCTAGATGGCTTCTTCTATCTTTTTGGATCTCAATACAATGTTCTCCCCCTCTCTCGTGGAGATCTATTCGATGTAATCTTCTTTTTGCGGTGTGTTTGTTGAGACCGATGAATTGTGGGTTTATGATCCAGCTTATCTATGAATAATATTTGAATCTTTTCTGAATTCTTTTATGTATGATTCAGTTATCTTTGCAAGTCTCTTCGAATTATCCGTTTGATTTGGCCAACTAGATTGGTAGTTCTTGCAATGGGAGAAGTGCTTAGCTTTGGGTTCAATCTTGCGGTGTCCTTACCCAGTGACAGAAAGGGTTGCAAGGCACGTATTGTATTGTTGCCATCGAGGATAACAAGATGGGGTATTTATCATATTGCATGAATTTATTCCTCTACATCATGTCATCTTGCTTAAGGCGTTACTCTGTTTTTAACTTAATACTCTAGATGCATGCTGGTTTTCATATCCACAGAACTAAAAAGGGGTTGGAAAAGCAACCATATTTTAACTAGTTATTCATCCATTCATCCCCATCTAAAAAGACAGATGATTAGCACAGACAATAACTTGTAGTCATTGTATATATGATTGTGCAAACAAAAACATTCTAATCTAGCACAAAAAATTAACTTAGTAATGATCCATTAATGGTATCGGAAAACAAAAAACACTTGAAAAATCACTGGAAAATACAGATGGAAACACATTGAATCATTTTATCAAAAGAAAAGTTTCAACAAAAGGGGATTGATATAACCCTGAGCATTGT